TATGAAAAAAAGAAACATAACTCGTATATTATATTAATAATATGTGTTTAGGAGCGATATTTTTTAAGCTCAACATATGGGCTGGTCAAAACTTTTGCCCCCTCTATTAAAAATTGAAACAACGCCACTGCAGTTGATTACTGCGGTTTATGTTAATGATAGAAATTGCAAAATTTGCTACTTAAATTTCTCATAATTTCATAAAATATATAGTTAACATATTGAACGAGATACATAAGATGCAAATATTTAGATTGAATTTTTATAGACGATGGTTCGATGGTATAAAAAAACCTAAATTACATTTAGTACAAAATAAAATAAAGTTAACTTCAAAATATATTACAATAGACGTACCTACATCAATAGTATATTAGTACCTTTTTTTTTTTTATTATGGTATCGAGGACTGGAGGAGAAACTATGGTGCCAGTACTTCTCCTTCAGCCCCCATCGTTTAAAGTCAAAAACAAAATACAATACAACAAATAACAACGGCGAGCCAATCCCCCACTCGCTGCAATTACAAACAAAAATGTTATTGTCTTAAGCTACAAATCAATTTCCGGCTAACAGTGTTCTATGCTGAATACCGCCGGTTCACAGCCTGTCGCACACGTTCCTCTTCTACTTTTACCGAAAGGATGTTTTCCACCATGCCGTAGAACAGCCGAAACCGCTCTTCGGCTTCTCTCAGGATCACATACCTCCCGTGAGCGTCCGCCGGCAAGAGCTCGAACGCCAGTCCGCAGGTGATGTCCGGAACGTCATCAGCGCTCGGTTGATGGCCAATCCTGGCGCTCAGGACTTCACGAAGGCCGTCCCAATGGGGGCAATCGAACAGCGTGTGTTCGACGGTGTCTGAATCGCCCGAACACTGCCAGCAACGAGGGCTGGCGGCCCTGTTCATGCGATGCAGATACCACTCAAAGCAGCCGTGGCCCGGGAGTGCCTGTGTCATATGGAACGTCAGAGGCACCCACGGGACAGTCCTTCCTAGCCATCTTGCCAGGTCAGGGATGACGCGGCGCGTCCAGGCCGCCTTCGGGGTGGCAATCCATCTTGTCTGCCAGGCGACGATCGTGGCTTTTCTTGCCTCAAGTTTCACGGCCGCCTTAGAAGGCCGTGGTTCGCCGGGCTCCATAGCGGCGCGCAGTCGGGATCCGATGTACTGTCTCTCCAGTCCAAGCAGATCCACGGGCGGCATACAGGCCAAAACCAGGGCGGCCTCGTCCGACACGGTGCAGTAGGACCGGATTACCCTCAAGGCGGCGGTCCTCTGCGGACGGATCAAGATCGCCCTAGTTCTGGCGACTCCTGTAGCGGAAGGGATCCAGACGGGAGCAGCGTATAACAACTGGCTTTCCACAACAGATGCGAGCAGCCTCTTCTTCCACTGTGCCGATCCGCCTATGTTGGGCATGAGCCTGGATAGCGCAGCCACCGAACGGGCTTCCTTCGCAGCGACGGTACTCGCGTGTGCAGCAAAAGTCAGACGCTTGTCCAGAATAACACCGAGGTATCTGATCTCATTTCGCAATGGGATCAGGTGGCCGGCAACCGTCAAACGTGGAGGGACAAACGCCCGCCTCCGGGAATGCACCACCGCCTCGCTCTTCTGATGAGCCAGTTCTGCCTAGACCCCTGCTCCGCATCCAGTCGTCTATGGCCGTCAGTGTGGGATTGATTGCATCTTCGAGCTGCTGTCCGGTCACGGCCGTACCCACAACCACAAGGTCGTCTGCAAAACCGACGAGCTGCACCCCGGGCGGCGTGTCCATCTTAAGGAGGGAGTCGTAAGCGACATTCCACAAGGTGGGGCCAAGGACGGAACCCTGCGGCACTCCGCAGGTCACCGGTCTCTCTGCCATTTCCTCGCCGGTCAGTAGTGTTCTGTCAGCCAGCCAGGACCGGAGCATCTCTACCAAGTACTCCGGGGTGTTAATGCCCCTCAGAGCTGCGTCGATGACCGGCCACCCCAGAGAGTTAAAGGCGTTCCTGACGTCCAGCGTCACCAGAACGCAGAGGCTCTTCCTTCTCGGGGTGGTGGCCGCCTGAGCGCCGATGCTGAGAACCGTGTCGATTGCTGACTCCGTGCTAACTCCCTCCTGAAGCCAAACTGGTTCGGGGCTCTTCTCCGTCCCCCGTGTCCAGGTGGTCTTCTAGCCTCTGAAGAAGGAGCCTCTCGAGCAGCTTCCCAGGGGTGTCCAACATACAGATCGGCCTGTAGCTCGACGGGGCGTCCGGAGGTTTGTCCGGGCCCTTACGAAGTAGCACTAGCCGTGCCCTCTTCCAACGCGGTGGGAACGTCAACGCATCGAGGCAATCGTTGAAGACGCGGAGGACTGCGCAGAGCTGGGCGAGCGCAGCGGCACGAGGATCTCGTTGGGGATCCCCGAAGGACCAGCCGCCTTGTCTGGTGCGAGCCTCTTGACTGCTCTACTGAGTTCTTCCAGCCTGAATTCTGGAATGACTCTGGTGAACTCGAGCGTGTTCAGGACCGGGTCGAATGCTTGGAAGATGTTGTGCACCGCTGGGGACGGAGCCAAATCCCAATCCGTGACGTGGGCCGCCGGGAACAAAGCGTCGGCGATGACGGCCTCCCTATCCTTGGAGCTCGCGGCCGGGTTCTGGCCGCCGAGCTTCTTCATCACGAGCTTATAGGGTCTGCCCCAGGGGTCGGTGTCAACCTGAACGCACAAGTCAGCTCAGCACCTGTTTTTCGCCTCCCGGATGGCTATACGAAGCTTCCTCTTGGCGGCGATGTAGAAAAACTTAGCTTCTTGGACTCCAGGCTGCCCGACGCGTCTGATACAGGCTTGGTATCGCCTACGGAGGGCAAGGGACTGGCGCCGCAGATCGGCGATCTTATCCGACCACCAGTTTATTAGTACCTATCATAAATTACAATTGAAACAATAACATTTATGACGGAATGACGCATTTTTGTTTACTGTTTGAACTGACGAGACTAATTAAGACTAATTTTCATGAGCATGTTTCCAACTTAATCTAACTCCAAAAAAAAATATTCTAATGCAATAAATTATTAAGCATGTAATTTTAAAGAATTTGCACGGTATTTGGTTTAAGTTTAAATCAAATGTTGGTAAGTGAGGATCAGCGACCTGTGTCTCTAAGCCCATCCGTAACATAATTTACAAATTAAATTTTTTACAATTTACATGGATAGTGGTCGTTGGGGCGAAGGTAATGATTTTGATCAACAAATTAATAGTCCGTTAGGGGGATTATCATTAGATATTTTACATCATTTGGCGAGTGAAATTATTTTTATTTGAATAAGAGAAGAATCTAGTGATTTTGATGTCAATATTTTTAAAAATAAGGATCATTATTAATATTGTAACAATATGGTTTTGTTTTATTAATTGCAACATTTTTATAATGTTGGCAGTATACAACAATATTACTATACCAATGACCAATATCCTTTTAAAATTAAGAGTTTCTTATTAATTATTTATTTTGAATATGGTACATGGCTTTATTTTTTAAATGACAATGTACATACTATACAATACATAAATTAATTTTACCTATAAACCTATTCATACTTACTCAGATTTTTAATGTAGAATAAATACTCGCCCAAACAGACGACATTTTAAGTCAATTTGCCCTAATATTCTGCACCCATTTATCCAACACTGATATTTAGCATGTATTATAGCTTATTTGCAAAAGCAAATCAGAAATGCACTCATCCGCCCTCACCCCCCAAAACATTTGTCCTAAGTCAAACATGTCCCCACCTCAACTGAAGAAAAATATAATGATTTCCTAAATTTTTTTTCTCCACAAAATGTGGGAAATCCAAATATTTCATGTCAAAATGAAACTGAGGATATGAATATTCTCTTTTCGTTTTACGATCCATTATCTTGTATTCAAGAAAAATGTAGAAACAGTAAACAAATTTACTACTCATTAGTATTATTGTAGTCTTAAAGTGTACAGTAAAAGACTAAAATATATAAAACACAATAAACTATATTTTTATTTTTAAATAATTGTTGTCTACCTATAATAATTTAAAAATAGAATTTTTAACTTGGAAAAAAAATATAGTAAAACTATAAAATTCCAAAAAAAAAAAAAAATTAACAGAGGAAAATAAATTCAATAACAATATTATATTTAAATTAAAATTTATATTTCAGATAAGGGTGGATGGCAATATTATTTAAATATTACCAATGATACAATGTCTAAAAGGCTATTGTCAAAAATAAAGCTTATGAATAATTTAGAGGATGCAATAGATTACATTGTCAGAACCAGGTTCATATTGGACTATGCTTTTCTCGGTTCTAAAATTTCACTCACTTATTTATCCCAAAACAACTTCATTCAAAAGTATGAACCTTTATACATTTTGAGTGACAAAATAATTCTCAAATTTACGGCCAGAAATTATATTATATTATTGACTTTAGGTACAAAAACAAGAAAATATTCCTTCATGTTGCTTCAGAGTGTTATGTTCCATTTAATATTGGTGTAGCCTATAAAAAAAATTTTGTATTTCGTAACATATTTAGCAACTTCATACTTCGAGCACAACAGAGTGGTTTAATAACCAAAATAATTAAAGATATAGAATGGGAAATCACACAAAAGTCTGGAGCTAGAAATGTAAGTGCATCAATTCATCATATCTTTAATGAATTATTGTCTTAAATTTTCTTAGCCAAACTTAATAGTTGCTCCTGAAGACCGTCAACTTGCATTGGATGATGTCCAAGGCATGTTTGTACTATTAGGCGGAGGCATATTGCTGGCTGCTTTCACATTGTTAGTCGAATTTGTGAAAAGCAAAAGAGAAAAGAGGAAAATTGCACAAATCAAAATTGTAAAGCATTTGAAGAAAAGAAAGCGGCCTAAATCCTTAACTGCCAGGGAAAATACTACGGCTGAGCCTTTTAGACCATTAACTGCGCTTTAAAATGACTTGTAACTATACATTATTGCTAACATAAGTAATAAATAATAACTTTATTATTTTTAATGAATGAATACTTCATAACATTTATCACAGACCATTTAAATTTAATCAAATTGATTTAATACTACGTAGAATTTTCATTAGTTTCAGCCGGATGTTCATCAATGGATACAGCACTTGTTTTTCTCGAGTTCCTTGAAAATCGTAGTCATTGAGTAACATAATAGAACAAGTTAAAAGTGTATGCAAGTAATGTTGTACTCACGACTTAGTAGATGCCAAAGATGAAGTAGATAACAACATAGACATCTGTTCAGATGTAGGGCACGCAATTAATTGTTGTTCTTCTTTAGTGTAACTGTTTGTTGATAAAAATTGTTGAATTTTTGTAAACATATGCAAAATATTATTCTAAAAAACAAAAATATAAAAATAAATAAATTATACTTAGTCATTGTTTTTTATTGACATACCTTGATAGGCCTATACAAAACAAACTGTGTGTCTCCATTGGCCAAGTACAACGCCATACTTTGATGGATCATTGGTAAATCCTTTTTGATTTTTTTCAACGATTCTTGTACTTTATCGTGAATAGCTTTAGGTTGGGCGAATTCTTGTTGTTTAACAATAGCCAGGAATCCTTGCATATTACACCATTTAATATACTTTTGAACCTGTAAATAATATGTTACAAGAAGAAATTTTTAAGAGCATGTCAAGCTTTAACAAGTCAAAACATACTTCATCTAGAAACATAGACAATGGTGATACTAATGCATTAGATGAATGATTAATGAATGTTTGACAGGACTCTTTCAATGTCTGATCTACTAAACGTCTTGAATCCACAGAGTTTTCTAGTACTACCGGTGTTCCTTCCAGTAAAAATTCAATGATTGAGTTACTTGAGTTTAAAGCAAACATTTTGTCGTGTTTTTGAAATAAACCCCAAGCTAAAAAAAATTAAACATAATTTATAAGTGCACATTTATTTTATTAATATTATGTAAAATTTGGTAAATATATTATGTATTTCAAATAACTTAATTACCGGCATTTTTCATTTTACTAAAATCCAAGTTCAATTCTTTAATAGTAAAATCTACTTGAAACGGTGCTATTTGTTCTCTGATTATCAACAAATGTTTTATCTCAAACAAAGAACCATCTGTTGGAGTCTAAAAAAAAAACAATAATCAAGTTAATATATATTTAGAACTGTTTGTTGTTTATTTATGACTTTATTTTAGCAATAATTATCATGTTTATTTGGTATGTATTTAATATTCAAATTAAACTGTCAAGTAAAATATCTCAGTATTAAATTTGTCAATAAATATCTATAATATAGCATGAAAAAAATACACAGCATGTGTAGACAATTCAAATAAGAAACTCATAAATATAAGTAAACAAATGCTTTTATGAACAAAATCATGGCAATGTATACTATGATTTTTTTGTAAGTTATAATAACAACGTATGAGGAGCCTTGTATTAAATTTCATAATCTAAGGGTTGAATACTAAACAATTTAGGGATTTTCAATTGCAAAATAATTTACAGTAACCTAATTATGACAAAAAACACTAGATTCCTACTGTACAGCAGAGTGGTTACCTACTTTCCCCCTTTTTTTTCTATTAAATTATATTGCACTCTTTTTATAGACTGGGTCAAAAAAGTTTCATATAACCTATAATGATTGGAAATGATATCCAGATAATACATATTTAATGAAGTCATTTTTGGATTTTCTTAATAATGTTCATAGGCATAAGAAGAAACTGTATAAAAACATCAAAATAAGAGTTACAAATAAATTTACCTTTTTTTGAGATATCATCAGAGCAGCTTGATGTATGTTTTTCAAACACAAAGCAACTGCCTCATGAGAAAGACTTTGAAAAATTGTCTTATCAACACATCTATACAAACGTGATAAACACATCAACGTACGCCTAACCGGTGGATACCACATTCCATGAAGATCTGCAGCAGAAGTCCATCCACCTAGACAAAAAAAATAACAATGTAAAATAGTGTATTTTAAATCCAGTGTAGTAGAGTATAATGAAACTGTATTTCTTATTGGAGACAATTTGAAAGTGTTTTACTTACTAAGCTAGAAATAAGAAACATAAAATAATTAATGGTTTAAAAATTATAACAAACTGGAGGGAAATCTGTCCATAGTAACTAAATCTGTATAATACTAAATTAATGGTTACTTCAAATTAATTAATGACAACCTTTTGAGATTTTTACAAAAAGATACAGATAAACATTAAATAATTTATTTTAGTAATAATTTCTTTGCTAAGCAATATTTTTAAAAAACATATTTCATTCATCGCAACAACGTAATTAATTTCACCGAAAATTTTTATTACAATATTGAGAATAATATTATCTGTGTTTAGTCAGGAGAATCTTATAGTAATAAAATGAATACATTTTAAATTATATACATTATGATTTAGAACAATTTAAATGTTAAAAAAAAATTGTGACAAAACAGATAATATTTTTATATATTTACAGGACTAGGCCTTAGGGAAATAAAATATTAGACATATACAGTTTTACAATTAAATAATAGTTACAAATTACAAGACTACATAGAGGTTAAAATATATACATTCTATATGTAATATATATTAATCAGTTTGTTATAAATTTAAAGACCAGATTTATATGTTTTTAAATATTGTTATTGAGTTTAATATGCAGTCATATGTGATTAAAAATGTGGACAGTTCATTCAACACAGAGTTGAAAAAGTTTTTTTTGCATATTTGAGAATATTTCTTGAGTTAGGGAATATTTAGATTATTTAAGTTCTAAAAATTAATAAAAAAAATCCATTCATTTTAAAAACCTTTTAAAATAATTACTTTCGACACAAATACCCTATTTTGAAATTAATCCATTATGCAAGTGTGTACTTGACTATCATAAAAAAAAAACTGAATATTTAAACAAATAATTTATTATTTATTTTTTGCCTAATTTTTCTAATTTTTCAGGGAATATTGGCATCATATTTTAGGTGTTTTAAGAGAATGTAAACAAAGATTCTTGTCATAATAGCTTACAATAGCTTAATGTTCAGTGACAAGTGTTAACTATACAGTTGATATGATATATGATGAACTGTTAAATTTTAGATATTGTTTGTAGCATGTAAAATATATGATTTATTTTACTATAACATGGAAATAAGGATAAACAGTTACAAAAAGCTATGAATACCTACCAATAGACTGTTTTGACATAACTGATGGTGCTTCAGATACAGATGACACTAAACTTCCAGTTGAGTCGTATCGAGTCAACTGTCGATATTGCATTTCTTCCGCAATTGCTTCCATTTGTTTTAATTTTTCTGGATACGCTAAATCACCAGGTGATGGTTTATACTCGGAAATGTCTGTGACAAAGTACAAATTCGCTCGAAACACTAAACGCTCTTGTGTATCTTGTAATAGTAACTCTGCTACAGATCCAAAAACCTCAAGCGATTCTAAAAAACCAGTTTGTTTTCAACTCAATTAATGTTAATAAATATTGTTTTTCTAGTTACCATCCTCAGAAACATAGTCTTGTAATATTTCTATTCTTAGGATTGTACAAAGTTCAACCAATGTTTCAAAATGCTTCATGTGAATTACTAATGGTCTGAGCATGTCATACAAATGCATACAAACAGTTTCCAGGTATTCTCTAGAATAAAAAGTAAACAAGACTTTCAAACTACCAAAATACACATAGCAATGTTATTCATACATTTTTGAATCTTACCTGAATACTGGAGATTTATTTGTAAAGAAACATTGATACAATCGGTTCTCGTCATGAGTTAATTGTATGAGTATTTTACACGATGAACGTAACGTTGAACAGTAATCACTCCCACTTGACGTGTAGTTTGACAGTGTATTACTGATAGACGAACCAAGAAGAGCTTTACGTCGTGTCACATAAACCATCACACAGTCTTCCAATGCCGTAGCATATCTATGAACATATATTAAGATGTTATATTCAGGTATTTAATCAAATAAGACTAGTTAATGAATAGGAAACATACACTGCATCCAAATCTATTCGGTTTTCCAATAATTCTAACACTGGTCGTACTTTTGTAGCAATTGCTTGAAACTTCCCATAGTGTGCTATGAATTCAGTTGTGTCTAAACTCTCAGTTCCAGTCTGAAGACATTGAGTTATGTAAGTTTGAACAAGCGATAGAGCCTTGTACCTGGCATTTACATACAGAGCAAGATATTTATTGCTCTCTTTATATGACATCTATTCAAGACAAATAATATATTAATTGATAATTACAAATAAAAAGATAATAATATTGTACATATTATAATATAAACTCAATGCTAATAATGATGATTTAACTATACCAACATGAGAATTTAAATAATCAATTCCGTTATCAATGGACATCATCATGTTAGCAAACATTTCACTGGTGACAATGAACGAAGGTGAATCCAATTTCGAGTGTATAGAATCAGCAGCATTGAAGATGGATAAACGTTCATTGATTTCTTGGCATATGTTACTCAGACTTGTCTAAAACAAATATATAAATATAATTTTTACTAAAAACTAACTTTACACATTTTTAAAACCTGATCAGTATGTAGTTCTTCTCCAGCCAAATATAAAGAGTTTGTTTTTTTTGAAACCTCGCTGTATTTTTCTTCCAACATACCGATGAGCTGCATACACTCGTCCATCTAAAAATCACTTCTATACTATTGTCTATAATAATTAGTCTAATAATTGATTTTGAATCAATCGTAAAATAATATAATAATTTTTATATACCTTGGATAGCATTAATTTCCACTCGTCCAACTGACTTCGTAGTTCATTTGCAAGCTGTATACATGGTTTAATTTCCGAGGACATCCATTTTTGTGCTATCTCGTAATATAATTTATGAAACTAAGAATATACAAAATTTTGCGAGTTATAAAATAAAAGAGTTAAATAATTAACAAGAAAAAAATGACTATTAGGAAACTCAGTCAGCAACTTGAGTGTTTTTATTGCAATACATCATCACAAAATCATTAATATTGATCTGTTTCAAACAACAATCATTTGTTGAAGATCAACTTTATGATTAACAATTACCATTTAATTCTCCTAAGCATAACATTAGTTTCTGTTACATTTTTATACTGTTGTTTAAATTTGTGTAAACATTTAGACTTTCGGTAATATATTCATATAGCGAGATAAGTGGGAATATTTCCCTTATTCCCACCCCCCTTAAACACACACGCGACCAACTATCAAAAGAATAATAAGTATATAATATGTTAATCTAGGTTTATGAAAACTACTAAATCCTATGAAACAAATTAATTCAAATATAAGAACATAATATTCCACATTTGTAGAATGGTTTTGAATAAAATGTGTCAAAAATAATCTCAGTAAAAGTATTAATACCAAAAATAAAATAAAAAAGGTTAAGTTTAAATTTGTATACAATGTACAATATTTTAAGATACAGAAGCTGATGAAATTGCAATAAAATTCTGTACAAGGAAACTTAATTGAAAATGAAAGTCTTGATATTATATAGCATGAAACATGATTTCAAATTTGTAATAACAATAAAAAAAAACATGTCAATGAATTATATTAACACACTATAACTAGCTACATATTTATTGCAACTATAGTTTTGAGCAATATAATAAATTATGACATAATTTAGAAAAAAAAAATATTTATCTTTAGTAACCTATAATTTTTGAATTTATTAACAAATATCACTATGGCCCTTACTCCCTGTTTCTCCAACCTTAAATTCCTGGTTAAATCATTGCGAAAAGTAATACTTACATCCTCGGCAGATTCAATATTTCTATTTAAAACTTGTGGCTCTTCATCTATACTTGGTTTATCTTTGTTGTGGTCTTTGATTTCTAAAGACTAAACAAAAAATTACACTATCATAAAGATATCTAAACAATATAAAACGCAATTTTAAAAATAATTTTAACACATACCATAAAGTCGCTATCGCCTATGTGTTCAGACAAACTCAGATATCCGTTGATTTGAGACTGACTTAGAGGTGCCAATGGGTTCTTTTCGGCCTCCCATCGAACCAATTTATCAGATATTTGTCCTGGCTTATTGTTCGCCATAATTGAATTTTAAATATTTACATGAAACAACAGCGATAGTGTGAAACACAAAATGTCACAAACCCAGTGGTAGGTTTAAAATGTTAGTCAGGGACTAAAATTTTAAACTCTCAACTTTTGAATATTATAATAAATTTACAATTATTGTATGTTATGCCGACGTAAACAATTATTATCAGTTATCACCAATTGGTGTGATAAAAATATATGATTTGATAAAACGAGATATCAAACCATAAAATAAAATAAAATCCAAAAACAGCAGCCTGGAGTGGCAGCTACTGTCGGTGGCGGTGGCGTTATCGCAAACCGAAATGAAGTGTCCTAATTTTCCTAGTGTGTTCACCGTTTACGACGACACGATAATAATAATTAATAATTTATTCATTGATAACGATTAACGAATGAATCATAATATTTTAAGGATGTCTGCCGTCAGCGCAATATTTTGCTTTCTCTCTCAGATCCACGCTCAACATAAAACGTATTCAAGTAAATCGTTAACGTACTTTTAAGTAATCGGAGTTAAATAATCTATAATAAAAATTATAGAGCCATAGAGGATAATGTTTTTGAGTGTTTGACATACTGGTTTTATATATTATTATTATTAGACTTAATAATTTATATTGACTCTAAAAATAAAAATAAATGATACATTTGAATAGACTTTAAATTGTATTGAAACAATGTTTAGACAAATCGCAAAGTCATACTCTCAAATATATTATACTCTATAATTTTTGTATTTGGTGATTTTACTCTAAAATTAACCACTCAAAAAACAAAAAAAAAGAGTGTCTTGTCCATGTTACGAATGGGCTAGAGAGAGAAAACAAATCGTGCGCCGATCATCTTATATCTTATCATATTTAACCCATTAATATAAATATATAATAGTACTAAATACTAAATAATAAACTTTTTAAAATTCGCATGGGAGGGGGTACATGGCTAGGTTACAATACGCTCTATCTACTTATGTAACTGTAATTTCGCCACATTGCAAGTTCAATATTATGAATCGACAATTAGCATATTATGCTATACCTATTTCTATATTATTATTATATCAGTAACAGCAGAGGACATTGAGGCCAGTCGCTATTTCATTGATTCATAGTTTTCCACCGAATTACTAGTTTCTCAAATTTAAACATGTCCACGACATTACTCATACAATGTTTAAATATTAATACATTTCGCGGACGTTCAATGTATGAAAGCAAATATTATAATAATATTATGTGTGATATTTTATTTTAACTAATGACTCATCAAGGGAATTGTGTCAATAAAAAAAAATGTACATGTGTCAAAAATATACATATTAATGTGACAAGATAATTTTAAAAATACCTAAGTTCTATAATTTGTACAATATTTTTAAGTATGGGTACCTTTATTGGTTTACCAGAAAAAAATCCGCTTTGATAAAATTATATCAAAAATATAATTGCATATTAGTTAATTTTTTTTTTTTATTTGTAAATAAATACATTATTTATATGTTACGACTTACCGATATATAGTTGTAATTTAGATGTTACCTAAAAAACATTTTTTTTTTAAATGTCATATATAAATTCAATCAGATTTTAGCTTTACATTATGCCTTATATTAGTCAAGAATACAATATACATCAACATCTAAATGCCCAATTGTTCCCTAGAATTTCACATACATTTTCCATTAGATATTCTTTATGTCGTTTGTATGTCAATTGCACAAATTTCATTTGATGTTAATATAGTTTTGTCAGCTCCTGTTGACGTATTTCTTAGGAGATTTCTAATCAATGGATTTTTAATACTGTTCTATAAACAATTGTATGCTTAATCAAATGACATTATTCCATCCCTCACACACGTCACACGTGATTCGTTTTACTACTATTCAGTAAAGTACTTAGGTGCACATTCCAAGGAAATTGACTACACCACCGCAGTAAATCTTATACCCATAACATATATATATATGTGAACAAACGGTTTAAACCTATTTAATATAATAATATTTAAATTATCTCAAATGAATAGAACTATTGATTATATAAATATCAATATCAATAGAATGTGTAATATGTTTTTAGATTCCAGATAAACTATATATAGGTAGTTTAGGCATGTGTTATGTAGTTACAAATTTATAATAGCTTTTAGCTATATTATTTATACATTATTTTTAAACATTAAACACTTAGTCGAGGAAATATAGATATGAAAATGAATATCTGAATAAATAAATTTAATTGGAAAGTACTTTATAGAATTAAAAACTATTATATTCAATTATGTAATAATAATATGTACCCCATATTATTCGTGTGTATTATACATAATTATTACACATAAATGACAATTAATATCACTGCTTTCTGAGTATTACTAAATTATTTTTATTACGACATTGCATACATTGTGTTGCTTAAAATCCATGTACCAACTAAATACTAATTACTATTGACTATTGGAAAATTTAAGATTATGTTTATAAATATATCAAATGTCAAGTCCATACCGTCCATAGATAATATTGTAAGTCAAATAATACTTACTAAAGCGTAATGTCTTAAAAACTAGGTGTAGAACAATAAATGATAGGTACATAAACTGTAATAAAATACAATATTGTAAAAATCATTCTTTAGATTTTTAGAACCACTAATTAACGAATCAATATATTATTCTAATCAAACATTTGTTATATGGACTAGTGGCTATTGCGTTTAGTTGGTACATTAAAAAATTGAATAATAATAACTAGGAATAAAACATTAATTATTAAAAGGTAAATAAGAATTAATTCCTTTTAGTAGCCAGGGGTATGATTGCTACTTTAAATTTGCTGTATAATAATATAATATTATACATATAATTATGGTACCAGGTAAAGGTAATACTAATATAATAATTGTTACTAATTGTTTCTATAGTAGGTACTTATTGTTTACTGGCAATTACCGACTTATACGTACATTTATTTCTTTTAAAACGTATTGTCGTAAAAGGAACCAACATAATGAACAATGATGATAGTAAGGTAAGGTATATAATTTTAACGAATTACCTATACTTTATTCACTATTGGTAGTAAATAGTAGATCATATAACATTTTAATAATTGTACTCCATAACAGAGATAAAAATGTATTATAACCTACTCTTTTGTGAATCGTTTAAATTTCGAAATTAAATAATTATGTGGGTATGTTCAATATTATGTATATTATGCTTAATATTTATTTTATATACCACAGTAAGTTGCAAGTAGTAAGTACCAACGTCCAATGTATATAAGCCATTATTAATTATTACAGACATTTATTAAAAATATTGTACTATAATATTTATATGTATTCTGTAGAGACTAGGCAGGTAGGTACTTTTGTCGGTGTTTATTGTTTAATATTTCAGAGTTTCGATTACAAAAACTCGACTATGGGTACGTAACGTATATCGTATTGTATTGTATACTTATATGTATGTGAATAATAATAATAACAATAATACATTATAATATGTCATGATTTATGCTTAAGACACGTCGTATGTTGTATAATTAATAATGCGCTCTATAAATATAAATTAATATTAAGTCTACAGCAGAATAGGACACTATATAATATCACAAATCACAATAGGTCTCGCGCACCAGTGATAAACCGAATGCAATAAAATGTATCGTCGAGGCAAGGTGGATATATATATCTATCCACCTTGCGTCGAGGCTCGCAGAGATAAAAATATAACAATCATAATATTAATAACGATAATAACCGATTTATGGTAGTTGTGTATTAAAATACTAAAAAACCTATTCCTACATTATTTTCAATAAATCGTAATACAAATATTTCGATTATTGCAATATCACGATTTCGAATAGTATAATAATCGAGATATTTATTATTTAACAGATTCACGGTGTCGCTGCCCGCGGGCGCAGAGTGAGTAATCAGTATTATATGTTATGTTGTAGGCATAAAGCGCAGTTGTAGTCGTCTGAGACACCGGTGGGGCTGCCGTCTACCGCTCGTAATACTAATAATATAATATTATATTATATTCGCTTTCAGACTTAGCTACCGATCGTTCGCCGTCGCTCGTGACGCGCAGCTCCCGACGACGACCGCTCTGATTAGCACGCGATAAAAATATATTAAAAGCGACAAACGGCCAACGGGACCCACCGACGGTTTGCCAGTTATTAGTTATCAGTTTATTACTATTTACTATTTGCTTAAAAATACTCAATCGTCGAATTCGCAGTGATCCAATATTTTTTTTATTATTTTTACAACCAAGGTAATATGATATGCGTAGGAGTGTAGGACGATCGGCAGACTGATGGAACAACTATACTAAATCTTTAACAATTTTACACGCGTACGACTTGGTAACGTTTGTTATTTGAAGTGTTAAAGTGCTGGAAAATTTTTCAAATAAAAATTGAACGTCGTCGGTCGTCGGTGGAACTGAAAATATAAAAAAAAAAATCGTCTTTTGTGCGGCCGGGAAATGCACGTACACAACCTTGGCGCCACTGTAGGCGACTCGCACTCGCACACACACGCGATAAAACTGGGCGTGTGTGCGTGAACGTAAACGCGATTGTTGGGAGTGTGTGCGTAATCGTCGTTTCATTGTGCTGTGCTGTGCTGCTGTTTTTGCTGTCGCTGTTGTTGTCGCTGTAAGTCTCATATGTTTATAATATGTAAGAAATTTTTCTCGGTCACTCAAGAGGAGACGAGGTTCGATATCCGTCTGTCCTAGTTGCGTCTTTTGTTATTTTTCTGAAATAATTTTTTTATTTAATTTTTTTTTGGCATCCCCTTACAGCTGATCGATATCAAATATCAATACAATTTATCATCCCCCGGCGAACTGTACGTCAGAGCCGAGCAGTGAAACGCCGAGTCAACATGTCTTTCATCGCTAACACCGTCGGTAACCGGTCATAGCGGTCATCCGTATGCGCACAGTGGTCGCTCTGCAGTTGGCCATTCAACGAAGATGCGCGAGTTCAAAGTGGTCGTGCTGGGCTCAGGCGGCGTGGGCAAGAGCGCCTTGACCGTGCAGTTCGTGTCTGGCCGGTTCATGGAAAAATATGATCCGACCATAGAGGATTTCTACAGTAAGGAGATCGAAGTCGACAGCTCGCCGTGCGTGTTGGAAATACTTGACACTGCTGGCTCCGAACAGTTTGCCAGTATGCGCGACTTATACATAAAGAACGGACAGGGTTTTGTTGTCGTGTACAGCCTGACTAACCATCAGACCTTCCAGGACATTAAACCCATGAAGGAGCTCATCACCAGGGTGAAGGGATCAGAACGTGTGCCCATATTGCTGGTTGCAAACAAAATCGATTTAGAACATCAACGTGAGGTTCCAACGATCGAGGGAAACACTCTAGCCCAGATCTGGGGCTGTCCATTTGTCGAGGCAAGTGCCAAGAACCGTACCAATGTCAATGAAGTGTTTGCAGAGATTGTGCGTGAAATGAATTTCAGCAATGACAAAGAGAAGAAGAGTTATTGTTGCTGTACAGTTCTATAAGCCATATTTTTTAGAATTTTGTGTTTTGTGTGCATCAATCAATGTCAAATGTTGCTGGTGATTTCAATTTTTATCAGGTAAACATTTATTCGTTAAACTTAGTATCTAATACGAGTCTTAGTCTTAATGCACTGTATTTTTTAATTCCATTGTTTTCTGTAAACATTTTTCCCATGCCATCATGCATTTAAAGAGATTGAGATATGTTTTGTTTACTTGTTTGGAACATTTAGTGTACATACAGTATACTATTTCTGATTTACAATAGCTATATAGGTAGGTACCTGCAATAACTTGTGTTATCATAATTTGTTAACATAATATAATATATGACTTCAATGCATAACATAATCATAAAACTGTAGTTTATTGATTTAATAGATGATAAATTGCTTGTTTTTATCAATGACTAAACATTAGGTGTGTTTTTAGGTAGGTAGGTTACCTTTAATACGTTTATTTCAATATCTATAGTCATTGAAATACTTGAGTCATTCAAAAACATTTAGATTCAAATACTATCTGAAGTTGAATTACATGAGTATGAATAAACTATGTAAGCTTTATAAAATTATTAGCAAGTTCTTATAAGTCTCTAGTAGGAGCTGAAATTTGTATAACAATAGCATAGCCAAAATGACAAGACCCTAGTAAATATGTTCATAAATTCACTACTTTTATCATAATATGCTATATTATCAATGAATATTGATTATTTGTTCATGATAATGAGTTATTTATATTTATTTAAAATATGTTTTCAAAGTATAATAATTTATGAAGTTTGATTAGATAAAACAACCACTACTTACCTATAGTTTTTAAGTTAAAAAAATTGTATAAATTTATACCTATAAAATATAATTATTAGATCTAAACACATTAAACATAATTTATAAATAATGTAAAGAACAATATTTTTATATTTAAAAACACAGTTGTGTGTAATTATGTATATTACATAATATATTGTAATTGTATGACTTGCAAGGAATTGAATGTTATCAAATTGTCCTTAAATGCCTAAAACAAATATAATGTTATGTAGGTAGATATCAATTTTTTTCTATATTATCAATTATCATATATCAATTAGTTTATTGTATTTCATATGAAAATGTTATTTCATAATATTGGTAGGTATGGTTGTACATTTTTAATATGAACAACGTAATGGTATTAAATGACTCAACAACTATACAAATGTGGAAACTAGATAAAACTGAAAAGTTCTTAGTTACCTTTATCTTTGTTTAAAAGTTGTGTTGGTTAAAAGATTGGTATCTTTTACTTATATTTCTTATTTATTTCATACAATTATTATCCATTAAGACAGTACAACCCCCCTTACTGACACTTCTAAATTATCGACCATCTCCGAATAGTGGACCAACTAAACCCTTGGGACAAAATGTCTGTGACCGAGAATATCTGATATTTAGAGGATTTGCTTTATAAAGATAATAATATAATACTTACTATCGTCTATTTAACCATACTATGAAATATTAAGTATAATGTGGGGAGAACGGAGTCCCCCCCATCTTATTTAGGTCAAGATTATGCGTCCTCTTTAATTCAAGTCTCCAAAGTCCTGGGGGGGGGGCTTTTAACATGAAATGTATTAACATATTCATTTAATATTCCTAAATTAGTTTTTATTTGTCTTTTTAATAAAATGTATAAAACTATAACAACTTTAAAATTTGTATACATTTTTTTTTAAATTTAAGGCTATGAATTGGAATTTATTTTTACTGGGCAGGCATAATAATTTGTGCAGGTAGGATCATTTTTCTCAGGAGGAAATTTGTTTTTATATCATAAATACAAACTTTTTATGAAAAAATAGGTGTATGAAAGAAAGAAATAATGGTGGTGTAGATCATGGGCTTCTTAAATCAGTCTGATTAGATATAGATTAGTAAGAACTCAGGAATGCTCCTACATTTTGATGACTAGACTCACTTAAAAATATTCCCATTTTAACGACTGTTAAAAACTTTAAAACTTGTATTCACTACCTATTTGGCGAGCTATTTGGTTACACAACTACCAATATTATAACTAAATTTGTATTTGTTAGAGTTTAAATCTTTATGTTATCTTATTGTTATTTGTTATCATATTCTAGTACAATAATTATTAATTGCACAATGGTCAATAGTCAAATTATTAAAAAGATTAAGCAATAGATACATAATTTCAAGCAATTTTAATTTGTATTGACAGTCCACAACATTTAGAACGAAATATATTTTTCGCCCTATTCAGAAGGCTAGAAGGAATTTATTTATGCAAATTTGTTATGTTCAAATTCATGTTAAAAAAAATTGTTGCATTGTTAATTTTGAAATAGATATACTCTAACTAACATCTGATTTTGGATATTATCTTAAATGCCATAGTATTAGAATTTTTTCATAAATTTTGTTGAAAAACATTTTTATATTAATTACACATGGTTATATAGTAATAATCATAAGTAATAAGTGCGCATAAAATCGCGCAATCTTCTAAAATAATTATCGTGATAAAAAAAGTATCAGTTAATATTGTCGTTGTTATGATTTGTTGAATTGTGTTAGTATTGAATCGTATTAACGGCAAACACTTATAGCACGGTGTAATTAAAAAATTATTTTTTTCAACGAAAACAAAAATTCAATGACGTTCGCTTTGTATACACTAACATTATCGTATTATAACAAGCTGTGACTCATTGAAGCCCCTTATATTCTTTCTAATTGGCTTCCTAGAGTTAACATACGTTTTATTAAGTTATTCTAGTTTGCGCACAGGACAATAATATTATGACGTTGGTTTATTGGAATATATTTACACAATCGTGTAATGGCTAATGTTCCAAACGACGAAATAAACCACCTCCTGTATGTTCCGTAATAACTAATAACTATGCTGATAACTACGTTGAGCTATAATAACTAATAACTATGTTGATAACTACGAAGAGCCGTAATAACTAATAACTATGTTGATAACTGCGTAAAACCGTATAGGTTAGGTAAAGCTGTAATATTTAGTAGTTATAGTTGTACACAATGTTTACCAGTCCTATAGTCTATACACGGTAAAATTAAATGTAACATTGTGAATTATAATCTATAACATAATAATATAATATAGGTACATTATACATCGTATGTTTGACGTTAATTATTGACTTATAATATTATAAGACGTATTTTAACCATCTAAGATTTGGATACAAGAATGTCTAGAAGAAAAAAAATTGGTGTCAGAAATGTCGTACGTTTAATTTTATATGACGCACCCCTTCCCTGTCTTCTTTTATTAGAACGATAAACCACAAAAGAAACCCACCAATATAATAATAATAACAATCGACCATGATGTACCTTTGTGTCGGGTACTCGAATGTATAATATAATATTGTTATGAACCCTATTGATGAGACTGAAGGATTGGTCGGGGTGGGCCCGTTTGGTTGAAGGGTACCAGTCGTAGTAAAAAAAAAAATCAGTTTTTGTCAATTTGTTGTTTAGTTATCAATAATAATATGTGAGGTTCCAAGTTTTATAACGCCGTTTACGTGTGAGTCAGTTTGCTTTTGTCATTTACTAGCATTCAGAAGATTTCTTTATCACAATATTATATTTTATATTTTTGTTTATATTCATTTAATATTATAATAATATCAGTTGTGCCATTGTTCGTTATATTTATCCGTTGTACTACTACGAATTTTTTCGTTTATACGAAAACAGGATGTGTGTTCTGTGAAACCATTATTATATGTCCGCAAGTGGGAATTTTAAAAAGCAATTACATATAATATTCGTCCTTATCTATACACTGATTTTACTGGTTACGATATACGTGACCGTAATAATAGCGATGGCGACGGTGACCATTGACATTTGACACAAGGTCGCAATATATCGTTTATGCGTATTATTATATAATTTTTATTATTTATTACTATTCTATCGTCTGTCCTTATTGTTGTTTACAAATCGAAGTAATAACGTAATGAGTTAATGAGTAGCGAAGAAATAAGAGTATGAATATCTCGAAGGATTTTAGATATTATGACAATCGTGATTTTTTTACCGGGTCGTAGGTAATAATGTTATTAAACTTGGTTCTGTGACGACGATGTGTTACTCTGGAGAATTATTACGTAAGCCTTTCTCTGTATCATGTTCGATCCATTATGCAGTAGACAGTTGTAGTATTGTACCTATCTTTTTTACATTTTACTTAAAAAATACGCCGTATCCACTGCATATGGCATATTGTGTGAGAGTCTGCCGATTCTTACGACCTCTACAACAACGACAAGGGTCGTCACCGCCGCGCCGCTGCGAGACATTCTCGATTTGAAATCGTGTTTATTATGTACCAACACCGCGGTAGTAGTAATAATGGTCCTAATAATAACACCGCTGCAGGACTCCCGTCGAGTGTGTACGTGTTTGTACGGCCGGGGAATATATTAATATTGTATTATAAGACAACACGTCGAACGATGCCTGCGTAAACGTAATAATATTTCAAATATCCGGTGTTAAAAATGGTCTCCCCGTGACCGGAGGGTCGTCGTTATCGGTAAACCCCTGCGTGTGGTTGGGGGAGAGTGTAAAATGACTATCGACAGTTAAATTTCTGTTGATTTAATTACTTATCCAAACAACGTCGTTGTTCCATTTGACGGCTATTTATTTCGACGTCACGACCCTTTGGGTGTGGGCCTCATCCCGATTAATTTATAGTATCCGAAATAGTGTGGTATGCATATAGCCATATACATATAGAGTATAATATATTGGTACGCATTTTCCGAACGAAATAATTGGTTTTTGGTGCGGAGGGTGGCGGCCGGAAGATCATTCCAAAAACGGCACATTGTTAGCTTAATATAAAAAAAAAAATGAAACTCTTTCACATTAACAATACGTCATGTTATACTGTATAAAATAAGTCACTTATACAGAGTGATTCTCTCTTTAACAGCAGGTCCTATGTTTTTAAGTCGATACTCTTTTTTTCTTATTCAGAAATATCTTAATAATTGTAATTTGTATAACATAAATTATAATAGACGAGACTTTTATCACTTCGCTAAGTTGTCAAGTGGGTTGAGTCTCGACATTTTCTTCCTCCTCCCACAAACGTCATCAGTTAGATTTAAAAATATGATTATTATAAAGCGTTTTATATTTTAGAATTTTGGTTTTTTATAAAAAAACGCCCGATTTTCAATAATATTGCAAATAAACAATTGTTTAGTATAGGAATGCATTGTGGGAATCGCCCTGTATTGAGTACAATATTGCCGGGACGCGGGCGTGTTCGTGAGGTGTGTGTCATGGGGAACCCATAAATAGAACACGACCACCGTTGAAGATTAAATTAGGCCCGTCCCTCCATTAAACAGTACGATTTTTCTCCGGTGATCGATACACAGTTCATATTAATGTCACATTATATACTTATTGGGCCTTATTATATTACAATTGATATATTATTCAAATACAATAAATAGTAAATACCCATTCTAATATACAAACGAAGGCTACCCAACGTATTTTATCGCTATTGAATTTAGTATATATTTATTTTTTAAAACTGCATTATTGCTATATGGCTACCAACATGATTTGGTACGTTTTGAAAATGTTCGAAAAATTCTGTATTATTTTATTAATGTTGAGAACATCATTTTCAATTTCGTGTCACATGTGTGTCGTGTTTAATTATGTGCGTGGGAGGAAAGTATAACAAAGTGGTTCAGCCACACACAGGTTACGTGAACAATAATGACACCGCAATAATGTATTACGGTGTCTTATATTATATTTTATTCAACAATACGTATTTTCCCAACAATTTATTGTGAAAAAAATTATAAATTCTTTATTTTATAAATTTTTTTTTGAAGAAATGTAGATGTTTGAACACTTCGAAATATAAATAATTATTTATAAGTACCTACCAAGTTTTAATTGGATCTTATTTGATTTTTTGATTCTTGATGATAACCTTCGATAACCTCAAATTAAAATGTTTGACTTATTTATACCAAATGATCTTTAATAATTTATTATTTTAAATGTTTAGTTATGATTTTTCTGGACATAAAAATTAAATTGAGATTAATTTTTGATGTATACTAAATTGATAATGATTAAGGTACTAAATAATAATACGTTATATTATCACCTAAATATTATAATTATTTTAATCTTCTTTGATAAAATATTAGTTGATTTTCAATGATACATTTTTTATTACCCATTGAATTTATTACAACTAATTACAATACTTATTTTTTTTGGTTTTGTTTCCTTTTAGATTTGAATTTTTTAATACCATTTTTAACTATTTTTACTATCTGAAGTTGAAAGCTTTTTTAAATGACTACACAAATATTGCTAGTTAGTATACATAAATATTAATAAGCATTGTAAAGATTGTTCATTTTACAAATTGATGCTCTTCGTTTAATATTATTATGACAGAAAATGTCATGTCTAATATATTTTATCTTCAGAAATAATAAATTAGTCTATTAATTGTATGTGTGTATTATAGTATAATTGTATAAATTATAAACGATTTGCAATTTCCTCCGTTAATAAAAATGTTTATTTTTGCTTACAGAAATACGTCAAAATTCACATTCAATAGTATTGGTGTCAGGAACTGTTCTCACTACAATTATTTACATATCCAGCTTTAAAAAGGGTACGTTTTCTAAAGACTGTCGATGATATTGATAATATACATAATAATACAAATTATTAACAAACAGATTTTTTATAAATCCACCTATCGCATGTGGCACACTATTGCAAGTGCCATTTAATGTTATAATATTATATAAAGATAGAATATGTTTTTTTTTTAAATTTAATTTTATTATTTAACTAGTGTTAAATATGTTTTCTGTAATGTATACATTTTTTTTTTGTTATATCGAAATGCAGGTTTATTGATACAAAATGTTTAAGGCAGGAATGAGATAATAACTTATAATGTGTATTCCTGTATGTAATATAAAAGGGGATAGGCGGAGTAATAATAATGATAATAATAATATTAACGGCCTAATTATTGTATATTGTTTTTGAAACTTATTATTTTGTAACACATATTTTTTATACTTTTTATACTTAAAGAAAAAAAATATATACAAAAATATAATAGTCAATGGAACAATTTTAGATTAAGAGAACGGAGTTTAAGTGTATTCATCCGTGTAAATAATAATTTATGAATCTAGGCATTTCTAACGATTTGTCTTGTTTTTGAATAATATTTTTTTTAGCGCATTAACATACTTTTAATCGATCAAGTGGTTTTGCAGAAAGCATTATGTACCGTTAATTTTTTTTTGCCTTTGTGATATTAATTTTATTTTTACGCCATTATTCCAGAACAAAATTGATATATGATATAAATATTTTGATTCGCTTCATCGATATAATAATATGCTTATGAGAAGCGATTTCAAAATGTTCCCGTGCGTCTGGCTTGCTTCACAATGGACCGTAACATTGTGCGAAGTCAAGTACCAAAGATTAAGCCACATAAAAATATGTGATATTTTGATTCTTAAAGTTATTTTCTCCCCTTAGCTCTCTCTTTACTTTAAATAGTAGTATCTGTAATGTCTTCTGCAATCTTCACACTATTATAATATTATACTTTATATCTTTTATTTTTCCTTAAAAAAATGTGAATTCATTTTATAAATCATATTATTTAGTAATATTTTATTTTCCACAATGGTGCATACCTAATATTAATTTTTCATGTACTTGTGAATAGCCTGTTTTTTTTTTATTATATTTAAATATATATATAATATATAAATTATATTATATTAAACACGTGTCAATAAATTTTTGTGGTATGACACTTTCTTGATTCTACTTTATATATATGTATACATATAGAAATTTATAAATAATAAATTATACGTGTATATAATATACATATATATATTTATATATATATATCCTCGCGTATATACATATATATATATATATTATGTACATGAATAAAAAGATGTATAAATCAATAAAAACAAAAATAATTTGAAAACTAAGTGCGTGCGTATTGTATTTAATAAAAACTTGTTCTAGTTTCATGTGGTATATTATTATATGCTACAGTTAATGTTCTGCAGTGAAAGTATGTGTGCAGTGGTATTAGTGGTTTTTCATGGATAACAATTTTTTGGAAGACCCAGGGAGTTTGATATTTATCAGACCAGAACGCAATTCAAATGTGTTGAATATTATCACAACACAATTAATATATTTGCAGTGCAGTAGTGTTATACGTAGTGGGTTACCATGATAAGTTTAAATTGTTTAAAATCATGTACCGCACAAAAATAATAGTTTATTGTTTTGTAGACTAGTGACGCAGTTCATTGATTTACCTGCGCCGTCAAAATGGTTAAAACTTTCATCATATTTTAATGTACTATATATTATGTTGACTTGATTACAAAGGAATTTTGTGTTACCTCATCAATTGAACTCAAAAAAAAAAAAAAGTGATGACGAAAACAAATCATAAGCTTTCAAGAGTACCTTCAAAAGACGAACATATTTAACTGCGCGCGGTGGGGTAGGTAAGAAGTGTTGTACTGCTTGAAACATCATTCGCACTGAGATCCTAAAAAGTGATTATACTGTTTCACTCAAACAATTTTTTTGTATTTTTTATATTAGCTTACGTATAAATTAATAGAGAACATACATCACATCAATAGATTCCTTGCTCAGTTTGCAATATAATATTTCTATTGTCTTACTGTCCTATTATGTTATGTTGAATATTGTTGGGGTATTATTTAGGTGCAAATAAGATAATGAATTATATCGTAATTTAATATCCAAATATCCGACTTCTCATTGAATCCATGTTATAATTAATTAGGTAGTTATAAATAATAATTATAATAAATCCAATTTTTAAAATTAATTCTTCTAAACCTCATCCTCTTGCTAAATAGTGGATCTGAAAAGATTTTTCGATAATTTTTAGCCCTATTGTTGCTTAAGTTAAACTGAATAGTATTTTTGAATTTTTCCTAAAATGACTATAGTTATATTATTCTTATTGATTTAAGAACAAAAAAAAAAATTGTTTTAAAATATTAATAACTAATCGAGCATTTAAATATTATTTAAAATGGAATTGTTATTACTTATTAGTTATTTCCAACAATAACTTTTGATGTTAGTACTTACTACATAAAAGTACTGTAGAATGCAGAGTAATAAATAATACAACAAATTCAACTAACGAAACTACAATTCTTAGTATAAACTTTTATATAGAATGTTCGAGATATTAAGAAATTGAAAAGGGGTTTACTGATTAATTCAGAGGAACTAATTTTGTTTTCAATAAGTTACCCGTATTTCCGTATCTAGCATTAGGAATAGTCAATATAACTATTATTATTGAAACTAATCAACTCTATCTCTGTATTACGGAGACATAATCTAAGTATAGATGTCAATTTAGTAATAAATAGGTACTTACTATAGTTTCTAGAATTGTTATTTTTATTTATCACAATATAAAATACAGAAATGCCCCCTATCGTTAATAAATATTTTAAATGCGTTGTTGGTGGATTTTAATATTGTGGTGATAGGTAAGTACTTGTATTCTATAGATAGTATTTTTGTAATTAGGTACGTGTCCTTACTAAGTATCTGTAGATTAATAAATGTTATGAACAAATTATGTAAGTAAGTAGGTACTATAATATGTTAATTTTAACTGATATATTTTTAATTCTCTGGACATTCGTTAAATTTACTAATTAGCACATCTGTGAAAGCAACCAAGAACATGTGTTTTTCTGTTGACTGCGTTTGTATGAATGTGCATAGTTGGACCGACAAGAAAAATGGGATATTTTTGTTCTTGTGTGTATAGGTACCTCGTTGTGTAAAACATTAAATTTGTAGGATATTGTAATTTGTCCTGCCAATGTGCTAATCGCATATTACGCCGAATATTAGTTAGTGTTCCCATTATCAGTTAATTATTACATCTAGAGCTTAGCCATAAATCTATTAGTTGTGCAACGATGTGTTTATTTTGTTCGTTACTCATTATTTTTTGAAACAATAAAACTAAACTAATCTTCAACTTTGAGTCTTTGCTACCAGACTCCACTCTAAGTTGAAGCTTGGTTTGTTTTTACTGCTCTAAAAGTTAAGGGTTAAAAAATAAGAGACTTGTAAATTTCATACAATAGGTTCCTCACTTATGAGGAACTTATCTTAATGTTTTTACATTATCCTAAAAATGTCAAAAATACGTATGAACATTTTTTTTAGACATTTATTATTGAAATTGGGTATTCAAACGAATGACAACAATTTTAGCTATTTTGTTCTAACTCAAAAAATATTCATAGAAGCTTTAATTGTTTGGTTTTAACGTAATACTTTTGAGTTTTAAGTTTATAAATAATGTTTATAATCATAAACGGGCAATACGTATTATTATTTTATTATACAATTAGATTCTAAAAATATTTAGATTAATCTCAAGCTATTTGTACCACAAACTTATTCTCGCCGTTGCACGTTGTACGGTATATAACGAGTCACCTATAACACTATAAGTAAGTTATTAACAACATAATAATATGTAAAATAAATAATAATATTATTGTGATTTGTTTGGCAAAAATTAATTTAGCCTACAGTTTTACTTATAGAAAAATAAATTACTTATCACAATATAAATACAATGACGTGTTTAGGCCGGGGCTCCCAAGGAACGCCCAAGTTTGGCAGCTACCTTCGGCTACCTTATAATGACATATAAAAAGAAACAGATTATTTTGTTAAGAATATTTATTTAAGTCCAAAACGACGAAATCAATTTTGAGAAATGTTATTAATTTAAAATTATGCTGTTACAACAAATACAGTATACTATGGTATCTGATACATACACTGCTTTTTTTTTTATACTTGTTAGTTGTCATACATGATACATGCAGCAACAGAACGATCATGCTAAACAATTAGCAGAAAAACGCCTGAGCCTATTAACTATTTCCATTAAAAACAAGCGGACATAACAATTAAATTTAGAGAAAGTGTAAGAAAAATCACTCACAAAAAGTTCTTTTAGATTCTGAGTGAAGCGATGATTTTATTGATTTTACAAAGATGAGTTTTTTATTTATTTTATTTGTGTATGTATAATATGTTACAGTTTAAACCCGAAATCCCTCAAAACTAGTTTTCAACCCGACTTTCGTAAAAACCAATTTTGACTAGTTAAAACTAAAATAAATTAACTTCAAGTTGAAATGTCTAAATGAAAAATCTAGGTTTTACTGCAATGTATACCTAGGTATTAAAGATAAAACCTAAGACCTAAACTACCGTAGATGATGATGAAAGACCCTGCAGCTGGCTATCAAATAAATTAAGATAAAATCGACCACCTGCAGGCTATCAAGTCGATTAATATATTATAATAGTTGAAGGAATGGCTGTTATTGTGTAGTAGCTATGTGACGTGTGTATATCAAGCTATTTTTGATGTAGTCTTTGAGTGATCTATATCGTTCAGTTCGTGTCTGTCTGTAGTGAGCTATAAACAGATCATGTTTTGCATTTTTCTTAGTTGGAAGTTTTTCAGTAATATTTTTAATATTAGGATGACGTTACACCCGCATGT